AAGATACATTCTTACTATAGATCTTAGCAACCTCAGCTTATTATTTTTCCTTTCTTTATTAAGTCAAGAGGTTTTATATTTTTTTACTTAAAGAAGGTACATTAGGTCTTCTCCTTGGCACATTCTAATTCCCAGCATCACTACTCTTACACTTTGGGGCCATTGTCAATTAAAAGAAGAGTTACTTGAACACAAGCACTATATGCCATGATAGTCGATCTGATAACCAAGACAGCTACTAAGTGACTAGTGGGCGGACAGTGTATACAGTGTGGAAACGCTGGACAAAGGGGATGATTCATGTTGTGGGTGGGATGGAGAGGAAGGGTCTGAGATTTCATCACACAACTCAAAACGGCATGCAATTTAAATGTTATGAATTATCTATTTCTGTACTTTATCATTTAATATTTTGGATCATAGTTGACTGCAGAAAGTAAAAGCAGGAATAAATGGGGTAGGGGGGTGGATTACTGTATTCTCAAATCATAATATTCTGAGGCCAGGAATATGAAGCTTTGGAAAGGTCGGGAGTGGCCTTATATTAACTCATACCATCCTATGGTTGTTAGTTAAGAAGTGAAGATGGTTATCCTATATAATAAAAGGCTAATATGCAAATTGACCGAACAGCGGAACAACCAGAACAACCAAACAACCAGTCACTATGACATGCGCTGACCACCAGGGGGCATGTGAGAAACATGCTGGGCATTGGCCGTAACGGGATGGTGGAGCAGGTGAGCAGGGGTGCCAGACCAAGGCAGGGCACTGATCGCTGTCATCGGGGTGAGCCTCTGTGGTTACTGAAAATTCTTTGCTCCTACGTGCCGCGGTGCTGCCTGGCACTCACACCTGCTGTCAGCGCCGGCCCCGCTCACACCCATTGCCGGTGCTGGAGCCGCTCTCACCCGCAGCCGCCGCTGGAGCCGCCACTTGCACCTGCTGCCGGTACCCGGTGCCAGTCCCGATCACTCGGCTGCAGGCCCGATCACCCCTGAGGGTTTCTCCACCTCCCCTGCTCCTGAGGAGTGATCAGGGCAGCAGCTGCTGCTCACACCCACTGACAGCCCTGGCCCTGCTCGCACCTGCTGCTGGCGCCAGCCCCAATTGCTCTGCGCTGTCAGCAGGTGCGAGCGGGGCCGGCACTATTAGCACATGGGAGGGGCGGGAGCGGGGCTGCCGGCAGACGGGACTGGGGGCCATGGCAGGAGGGGTTGGGGGAGGGATGAGGAGGATGGGCCAAGAGCCACTTCTGTGCCTATGGCAGCCTCGCAGGCCACAGTTCCTTTCAAGGTGCACAAATTTGTGCAGTGGGCCCCTAGAAAACTATAAAAACTTTGGGTCTTAAACACATTTTTTAAAAGAATCTGTCATTAACTAAACCACAACTTCCTGTCATAATTATTAAAGATACCAAGACCAAGAGACTATCAATAACCCTTACTCTGCACTATGGTTCAGAGTATGGAATTGGGTTCTTCAAATTGTAGAATATAGAAGAGAAAATTGACTGTGTCTAAGCCTAGGGAGAAACAATACATTTATTTATTATGAACAAGCTTTATTTTTAATTTTGTGTTTATTCCTTGTGTTGATCAAATAGAAGAATATAGGTTTTCAAGTACAAATATACTACTAGTAGACATTATTGACTTGAATCCTAAAGAGGAACTGGAAGTAAACCTCAAAGCTAAAAATGTGAAGGTTTTAATGGCCATTATTTCTAAATTGCAATACTAAGTTTAGTGGAAAATCAAAAGAAAACGTATACTGTGATAATAAAATTAGGCTTTACTCATAAATATTGTTATACATCTTATTCACTCATATATCTGTAAAATAAGAGGACTTATCTAGACAATCAAAAAGTGTTTAACCCAGTTGGCTTACATATAATACTATACTTTTAAATTCTATTTTAGTAAATACATGAAGTATAATGCTCTATTTGTGCATTGTAAAAAGCATGCTTATTTTTGTGTTGGAGTTGTATCGTGTAGACATCATAAAGTTAGCTGTTCTTGTGTAGAAATGCTAAGGTCTAATTTTCCTTCTATTCAAATGTGTTGAGCAATTTGCTTTCTTTGTAGAATATACATTTGTTGTGACCTCTTATTTTGATCAAAGAATTAAAGCCTTTAGGAATGAAAGCTTGAATATATGTGTACAATATTTTAAATTCCCTGGATTGTTCAACATCGTTTTCTGTGAAAGAGGAAACATTTTAAGTGTTTTGGTAGCATCCTAATGAGCAATAATAGTCACCTCCTTGGAGGAGAAGGAGAGCGTAGAACAAGGAGAGTTTCTAATTCATTTTGTATTAAATATAGTAACTTGACATTTGCTTCTTTGTCCTTCTCCACTGTCTACAAAGTCTTGCCTTCCACATTATGGTAATCTTCCCTTCCATTGGCAGTCAGCTGTACCATGTATCACTCTGACTTGTAGAAGTGTTTATTTGCCATAACTCTGATTTTGGAGATATATAAAATGCCAAAACTCTAATAAAGGATATTTGAGAATAAAATGCACAATGGATTAGAAGTATGTATTTAAGCATTTAACCATATTTGCTTGTTTACAACATAATTGTGTCCACCCAAAATGGTGTGGATATGTGTGTGTGTTTATATTTCTATATCTTCAAATAAGAGTGCTGAACTATAATCATACGGGTTTTTACAGAAAAATATAGATATACTTTACAGATAACTGAAATTTTAACAAGCATATTTCTTTGTAATTAATTCTGTGACTTCACTTCTCTTTTTTTATATATTTTTATTGATTTCAGAGAGGAAGGGAGAGGGAGAGAGAGATAGAAACATCACTGATGAGAGAGAATCATTAATCGGCTGCCTCCTGCATGCCCCGCACTGGGGATCGAGCCCACAACCCAGGCATGTGCCGTTAACTGGAATCTAACCCGGGACCCTTTAGTCCACAGACCAATGCTCTATCCACTGGGCAAAACCAGCTAGGGCATGACTTCATTTCTCTTAAGTAGAATTGGGTTAAGTATGTTGCTTAAACTTTGGCACACAGAAAATTGTCTCAGCATTCTTTCTTCATGATTTAAGCAGAGTTGAAAACTTGGAGTAATAAAATCCAACAAATACATTTTATTACTAAATAATGCTTTATCTTCTTAAAGATGCTAGCTACTTGAGCTAGACACACTCCAAACCCTCACATTATTTAAATTTCACACTTTAGAAACCCTTTTTATCTTTTTTATATATGATATAAGTTAAATTTATAAAACTCGTTCTTTGATATTCTGCAAAGGAAACATGAATTATTCTTTGACTTTGTCCAGGGAGGGGAGAGACACCTCATTAATACTGTTAGCTTCCAGTGTGACAACACAAGCTGTTTCTGAGATTACAGCAGAAGAAAACATTCCACAGCTATTGTATTGCTGCTTGCTCTGTTCCCAGTCTCTTAAAATTCTAGGCCTTGATAGTACAGAGTTAGGTTCCTTGCTTACATAATGTTGATTCTGTTATTGCACTTTCTGAAAACAAGAGGTTACTGTTAACTGCCAAACAAACTGGGCCAGGGGTTATTATCTATCTTTTGAAAGCATTTACAAGAACTAGCTTACTAAACCATTTTTGTTTGTACAAAAAATTACACTTTATTCATTAAGAATCACAAATGATCATATTTTTTTGTTTTGTTTTGTTTTTTAAAGAAGTCTAAGCAGAGCGCAAAATAGTACAGATCCATTTAGAAAGTTGGGGGCAGGGGCATTTGTTAAGGAACAATGGTAGATTTTCTTTGAAGGCTGTCCAGGAAACAGATTTGATGTGAAGTACTATTGGACGGCTTCCCTCATATCCAGCTAGTAGTGTTATTGACTGGTTTGTCAGCTTTTTTCCTTTATTTTATTTTTCTGCTTTCTGTCATTGATTTGTAAGCAGTTTAAGATTAGAATCCTGTCATTTAATTCGTTGGTATCTCCCTCCACCAAGAAAAGGAGTTTTGAATGAGGTAGATGCAATAAATGTTGATGACATAGGTTATTTATTCAGGCAGGAGTATGAACCTTCATTAAGTAGATGCAACTAATCAAAAGAAGAAAATACAATCCAGTCCCTTTATTTCTTTTCAATCCTGGAAGTTACAAAGATTTAAGTAATTTAATGCTGTGGCATGAGTATGAGGCTGGGAGATGGAAATTCTACCCTTAGTTCCAGGAGCTAGCTATGCGACCTTGCTTTGCTTTGAAAAGTCAAATCTCAAAGGAAAGGCAGAGGAGGGTGGGAGGGGGAGGTAAGAGATCAACCAAAGGACTTGCAGGCATCATATAAACATGTGCTGGGGGGTGGGAGTGGCCAGGGAGAGGTCAAGGAGGGAAAAGGGAGACATATGTAATATTTTAAAGAACTTAAATTTTAAAAAAAAAAGTAAGGGTATTGGACCCATTGATTTTTAATTTACCTTCTAGTTCTAAGACTAATTCTGTTCTAATGAAGGGCACTAGAATTTTCTTACAGTAATTGCCTATGCCAGGTAATATTTCTCTTAAATCTCTATAACTTAGGACAAGATCCACTGGCAACATAGACTGAAATCTTAGTACCTACACATTTTAATTCCACACAAAGGTGTAATTAAATCTAGAAGTTTGGGTTCATAATTGTGGTTGCTTATTATGGTTTTGCTTCATTTTTACAACATGATATGATTTTACTTTTTATTTTCCACCGTTACTAGCTGTCAATAGTAAAATTACCAAATTGGCTAATAGTTATAAATAATAGTCTTAATTTCTATACCCATGTAGCAAAAAAGCTCAATCCATATATGATCCTCATGTGCCCTATGTCACCTTCAGTGTTGTCAGAATCGTGCAGATTTCTGGGTGAAATAGCCAGTAACTTGCCACAGTAAACAGACCCCCCTTCCACCCCCGCAACAAACAGATTGCTAACACTCACTGTTGATTATAATGTGAAAACAATGTCATCTAGTTTCTATTTCTTTTGCAGGGTATCCTTGAAGATTAATTAGAAAATGTCCATGTGCCTATAAAGGTAGGAAAAAAATCTTTCCTGATTATAAACTATGTTGTTTGTTTTATCCAAGTTTCAATAATTTACTCCTCTTGTTAGATGTAGATAGAATTGATGTTGTTTATTTTGGACAACTGAAAAGCATACTAGATCTACTCACTTGCTAAACTTGAAATCATCCAACACCTAGTGTTGAATCTTCAGTTTGAACTTTTCTCCATACTGTTACATATTATATATTACTAGAGGCCCAGTGCAAGAAATTCATGCACGCAAGAAGGGGGGGTCCCTCAGCCTGGCCTGTGCCCTCTCGCAATCTGGGAGCCCTCGGGGGATGTCCGACTGACTCCCTAAGCTCTGTTGCAGAGGCAGGAGAGGCTCCTGCCACCACTGCTGCGCTCACCAACAGTGAGCCTGGTTTCTGGCTGAGCAGCACTCCCCCTGTGGGAGCACACTGACCACCAGGGGGCAGCTCTTGTGTTGAGTGGGATTGGGGCTGAAACTAGCTCTCTGACATCCTCCCAGGAGTCCCGGATTGCAAGAGGGTGCAGGCCAGGCTGAGGGACCCCACTGGTACATGGTCGGGGCCAGGAGGGACTCGGAGGTGGCCAGCTGGGGAGGGACTGTGGGAGGGCTCCAGGTCATGTCCGGCCCATCTTGCTCAGTCCAGATTGGCTGGACCCCAGCAGCAAGCTAACCTACAAGTCAGAACGTCTGCCCCCTGGTGGTCAGTGCACATCATAGCAAGTGGTTGAGCAATCTTAGCATATCATTAGCATATTACACTTTGATTGGTTGAATGGACCACTGGGCGACCAGACACTAAGCATATTAGGCTTTTATTATATAGGATGGTAGTTTATGTTTTACTGTTGGCAAAATTTATTCTTGCTTTTACATTTCTGTATTACCATCTCCATAATTTTAGGGTAGTTTGACATTAATGTATGTGATTTCCATATATCAGAAAGGCAATTTTATAATACATACATTAACGTATATTAATATATGTAATATATTGTTACAAACTGAGATTCTCTTGTCCACCATAATTTTACTTTTTTGTTCGCTATTTTAAACCAGTAATTTCTTAAGGAACAGGCAAAGTAACCATAAGTATAATTAGCCATCAGTGATTTAATAATATAAATGTTAACTTGGAAGAATTTACTTTTAATAAAAGTGTCAGAAAATGTGTCTCTTTTCTTGGCTACAACTTATGTGCAAATAAATTTAGAATTTCTAGTCTAGTAAATACTTTCTCTGATAATAGCTTAATTGTAGTTATTTCAGACCAAATTGTTTAATTATGGTGAATCACATGCAAATTGTTCAGATGTAGGTCAGCTTCCCACTCCTACATTCTAGCACCTCTTTTCTAATTCAGGACCAATTGCTCGATGCCTAAAAAAAGGCAAAAGAGTCGATTAAAGACAAGACAAAACCAGAACGACAATGCCATAAAAACCAACAGTGGGCCAGGAGTCAGCATGTTCTCATAAAAATGTCAGGGCAGGTTGCATTTATTTAGGCCTTTGTTGATGATCTCTTATGTTTGCTGTGTGTTTGTACACAATGGTGTGCTCATTGCTCGTGAGTTTGTGGCTGGCAAAGCATGGTGCCTCTGAGATGAAAATTCCCTCATATGCAAAATAATATCATTCTTGTTCACTTACTGAACATCCAGTAAAACAAGAAATATCAATGGAATTGTGACTCTTCGAATCTGATATGGAAAGAGCATATTCTTCTGCGTGATCTGGTTGAGTGACAAAAGAGTAGGTCTCACTAGTGAGAAAGAATACCTTGCATGTAGCTCTGGGTGAGGCCAGCTGAGCCATACTGCAGCAGTAGGAGCTAAGGAAATCCTTTGTTTTCCTAACTGTTACATTATAGCTCTAATCTATAGTTGCCTTTGGTGATGGAGCATTGTACCCCTTTCGGCTGAATGGCTGAGGTTCCATGATACTATTTAATCTTTATATGTTGTCTACTATAATTTCAAAGACAAAAATTTATTTCTGGTTATGAAAACATCGAAAAGTGATAAAGCAGATTGATGAGTTTGTTGCATTTGCTGCCTTTTATCTTTTGGTGATTATTTCTGCTGTTTTTGATATATTGACAGAAAAATGTGAGCCTTGCTGGTTAACTATTTTGACACTAAACCTAATAAAATTAGAATTCTGCCTTAATATAGACATAGTTTGTTTTTTAAATTATAATTCTTCACTGGAATTTGAGTGTTCAATAAATTGAATTTATATTTTCATATAATTTGATTTTTAACATTTTCATAAAATTTATTTTGAATTTAGTTATTCATTCTTGAAGAAATATTGTAGAATTGTGGAATTAAGTTACTGAATTAAAAAGTGGCAGCAATTTTTCTAATTCTTAGAATGGGGGAAATAGATGGTGACTACTTTGTACTTCTTTCAATATAAATATTTTCGTTCTTTGAATTATTTAAAATATAAAATAGACAATTATATTAAATAGAAAGTAATATCTTTCTCAAAGTTAGCTACTGTTAAAATTGTGGTATTTATTCTTCCAAATTCTTTCTTAATATACACACACATCAGTATCAATATGTGCACACAATGCTTCCATACCATATGCATGATTCTGTGTTTTTAACATTTTAATTATGAACATCCTTCTAAGTCAATGTGTGTTATCTATTTCATCTTTTTTAATGGATGCATATTAGGCAACTTTTTTTGATGCCGCATGATTTATTTAATAGGCTCTCTAAACAGTTTTTTAAAATAGAACTCTAAAATAGAATGAAAGATGGCCTTCCTTAATTACACTTTTGGCAGGCATACAAAAGAATAATTTCCATTTGAACAATGAATCAGGAAATTAAGGAGTGAAGAAAAAGTGTTACAGTAAAGAGGCACAAAAATATTTTTAGGTAAGTGCCCATAAATGGTCAGGGGAAACACAGGCTAATAATATAGACGATCATGCCCCTGTGTTGGATCTATATAAAATTAAATTCTAATTTTCTCAAGGTTCACCCAAAATGACACCTCCTTCCATAAACATCCAGAGATTCTTCTCTTACTTCTCATTCTCACCAATTGTCTCACATCTCCATAACACTTAGGGGAAAAATAGATCTCATCATTTTATGTCACATACAAAAATTCATCTGGCATGTATGTTTTTGTCCCAAATGGACTGTTAACCCCTATAGCAGTGATGGTGAACCTATGACACACGTGTCAGAGGTGACACGTGAACTCATTTTTTTGGTTGATTTTTCTTTGTTAAATGGCATTTAAATATGTAAAATATATAAAATAAATATCAAAAATATAAGTCTTTGTTTTACTATGGTTGCAAATATCAAAAAATTCCTATATGTGACATGGCACCAGAGTTAAGTTAGGGTTTTTCAAAATGCTGACACGCCGAGCTCAAAAGGTTCGCCATCACTAGTCTAGAGGGTGATGAGTGTGTGTTATTCATCTTTGAGTCTAACTGAATAAATCATCATTCAGTTCAATTGGGTTGAAGTGTGAGAAAGGGGAGAGATCAGGTGGAAATGTTTCGTCTTACCAGAATTTTATAAGGTGTCACTATCTGCCTCTGTATTTTAAATTACAGAGTGAATGCTAATAAATTCTTGTGGTGGATGAGATACATACAATAAAAACAGTTTTGATATAATCATGTTCAAAATCATACTTACAAGTCAAGTATCTCAGAAAAATATTTATAATTTATGAAAAAAATATTTGTATGGTGCTGAACTTATTTATATACTAGAGGCCCAGTGCACGAATTCATGCATGAGTGGGGTCCCTCACCCTGGCCTGTGGGATCAGCCAAAACCAGCTCTCCGACATTCCCTGAGGTGTCCCGGATTGCGAGAGGGCACAGGCCAGGCCAAGGGACCCCACCGGTGCACGATCGGGGCCGGGGAGGGACAAGGGAGGTTGGCCAGCAGGGGAGGGACCACGGGAGGGCTCCAGGGCATGTCCAGCCCATCTTGCTCAGTCCTGATCGGCCAGACCCCAGCAGTAAGCTATCCTACCAGTTGTAGTGTCTGCCCCCTAGTGGTCAGTGCACGTCATAGTGACTGGTCGACTGGTTGACTGTCTGCCCCCTGGTGGTCAGTGCATGTCACATAGCGAGTGGTTGAGCGGCCTTAGCATATTATTAGCATATTACACTTTGGTTGAACGGACAACTGGACAACCAGGTACTTAGCATATTAGGTTTTTATTATATAAGACTAGAGGCCCGGTGCACGAAATTCATGCACTGGGGATGGGTGGGGGGTCCTTTAGCCCAGCATGTGCCCTCTTGCAGTCCGGGACCCCTCCCTTGTTACTGCCCACCTGCTTGCTGCTTCCTACTGCTTGGCTTGCTGCTCCTTAGTTCTGCCATGAAGGCCTTGGGTCTGCTGGGTGCTGGGCCTGCGGGTTTGTGTCTCTGATACCCACAGCAGCCCCAGCACCAAGGTGGCGGGCCTTGGGGCTGCTGGGTACAGGCCCCCCATTGCATGTTTGTGTCTTCTATCAGGCCCCCAGCAGCCCCAGCAGCCCCAGCACCACCTAAATAACTTAAGGGAAACTTTATTTAGTCTTCTTTTAAAAGCAATCTAGTTTAAAAATGAGTTGCAGTTAAGACAGAACAAAGAACATGGTACCTAAGAGTGAGATAGACTGACAGAGGAGAGGCTGGGCACTGGTCAGGGGCTTACATGCCAACTGTTCTCCACCTGGGAAATGATGTAAAATCGGTTTCTTTAGTTTTCTGCTTAATGGTCTTCTCCAGCACTGAGGTCAGAGGAGCCGCCTTCCAGCCCGTAGGCTGCTTCTCAGAGTCGAAATTTTCGCCATAGGCCTCTGCCTAGGACAGGACCTCTGCACCCCCAGGGTGCATAAACACACAGGGCTTCCATCAGGCTCTCTGATGCCGGGGCGGGAGGCCTCTCAGCTCCGCTGATCCCGGGGCGGGAGGCCTCTCGGCTCCGCTGATCCCGGCCTGGAGGCCTCTCA